GCAGGAATAAAGATCACAATCAGTTTGTTTCGACCATATCACAGGTTTCATCTTATCTGCTCATAGGGAATTCAGCATCTTGTTTTGTTTGTTTTGTTTTTTCCTAGGGAAGTTTGTTTCACTGAGCAGAGCATCCAAAGCATGTACTCGTTGCTGCTGTATAAAAGCATTTTGAATGTTTCCACGTGTGAAACACTGATATACTTGTCTTATCCAGCAGCAGATGGCACGTCAGTATCACCGAGATCCTGACTCCAATGGGCAATTTCAGAGGACAAGTCACACCTGCTCCGTTGCACCAGAGGGAGAACTAACACAGACAAGGTCTGGCAACTGCTAGAATGTTTTACAGCTGCAGATGCCAGAAACTGCTAGTTTTAGCTCAAAGATTTCATGGTCTCATGCAACTGCATGACTGGGGTTCTCCACATTCTCTTGGCAGAGAGGAAGCCTCCACAGTGATCCAAGAAATACTTAAGGGCTTATATTACTTCTAAATACAGGACATAGGCCCTTTTGAACACCTTAACTAGACCTTACCCATCCCCTTTGCTATATCTCACCAAATGGTGTGTCAAACGTGACTAGGGATTCACTCCATTCTCCGGGCACATGAAAGCAGACAAAACTATTAGAGGTCCTGCCCAAGACAAATAAAATCCAGGAATCCTGATGTGCAAGTACATAACCAACCCACAGGAGTCTTTTGTCCGCTCCTAGAACTTGAAATAAAGCCTTTCACATCAATATTCAATCACAAGACAACAGCTCCAAATGTAGTAGTTTTCTTTCCCCCTCTCAAGCAGCAGAGTACAGGTCAAGTCCCTGGGGAAGATGGGACAGATATAGCTTTTCCTAACAGGTACTGGAACACCATCTGCTGGTCAGGTGGTTTAATACTTTTGACATCATCTCCAATAAGCCCTTTTCCTCTTAAGTGGCACCCCCAGCTGGGGATACTGCTTACACATTACCCCTTTTAAGAAAAAAACCAGATATCTTCTTTTCCAGATTGCAGGAAAAAGGCATGCAGTAGTGCTAGACCTAAACCAGAGAAGGTGAGCATGTTCACCTGGCGATTTTAAACGAGACCACGTATCTAGGATGTCAAACCTACTCAAGCTTGTTCACTACAGAAACAATATTATACCAATATGAATAATAAGTCTGTGGCAGAATGCCTCCTGCCCTAGACAGGAAGGGCAAGGCTGGAACAGGACTCTGATCTTCAGACCTACCTTAACAATGGCCTCCAAAGGAAAAACTGTTTTATTATGTCATAAACAGAAACACTGTAGTAGATACAAAAAACCTCAAAAATCAATGAACTTTCACATACCCCACCCCATCTCCAAAAAGGACCATAAAGTTACCCCTTCTGAAGCAAGCAAGAATCAAAATTTCTGCTTTTATCTCAAATAATCCACCTCAAATCCACCCAAGAATATTCTGCAAATACAAAGAGACAAAAAAAACCAAAACAAAAACAACAACAAAAAAAAAAGGGAGAAAGGCCACCTACCCTACATCTGAGGTCAGATTATAATGGCTCACATCTCGTAAGAGTACTAATCATGAACTTTGGGTTACTAGCTAAACCAGCTTACTTAAATTTAGTGAAATCCTCTCTGGTAGCGCTTTCCTCTCCTTTTTGGCTTTTCTTTTCAGTATAGCTGATCTTTGCTATGTCCTCTGCACCTCCAATAGGTATCGGTTTCTTACGCCTACGTTCTTAGAAAAGACAAAGCATCTACTCAGCCAAGAGAGCCTGTTGGTACACCTTACCTCCTGGTGCCCACACCACTCCCCTCTCACTAGGAAGGGTAAGAATATATACCACAGGGAGAGACCTAGTGAAAACTGAAGGCCACGTTACTGTCAAAACCTCACACCCAGAATTTCTACACAGGAACTTTCTCAGAAGTGCATATATTAGCAGTTCCACATTTATCCACCTGCAAGTGCAAATCAACTACGAAGCAATTGCCAAGCTCTGCACTCAGAAAACAGGCAAGTGAAAAAAAAGCCACCTCCAGCCTAAAGCTGACCACCAAAAGTGGAATTGAGTTTTCCCACCTAAATGAAACCTAGTATTTTAGCTATGAAAGGCTTAGGTTAAGTCCACTATCTCACCAAAGCTGTACTTAGTAACTGATTTGTATTTTTCATCAACTGAGACACAGTTGTTACCAATCTTTGCTGGGATACGTACAACAGCGAGCGGCAGAGCAGTACTCCCCACCTGAAGCACCTGAGATAAAGTTTATGCAGAGAAGCTCTATCGGTAGACGGACAGTCTCTGCAGTCAGACAACAGCCTGTCTCTTCAGGGAACACTGCTACCCACCAAGCAACCACTAAAAGGCAGTGACTTTCAGTCACTGCTTATTCAGGTTGTATTTGAACTGACAGGTGAAAGGCTTTATTTTTTAATCATTTTCTAAGCCATCCATTTCACTTTTAGTGAGCGAGAATCTTGAAGCAGGAGCCGATACAGCTTATAACAATTTACCTTTGGGGTGCAAAACACAAAAAGGGTGATGGGTAGTCTGTCAAACAGTTAATCCCGCGCATGCCGTCAGTAAAAAAATGCATAGCCCTGGTGCAAAGTAGGTCACTAAAATATGATCCACTGGTAGCAGACAGGCAGTTCATCCAGTTAGGAACTAAAGTGCTGTAGGTGAACTAACATTAGGGCTTTATTAAGTCATTCAGCAACCAAGTGTTATTGTCCTACACAGCCTGCTTAAAGTACAGTAAAGCATTTTTAAAGGATTTTAAAAATCAAACTAGTTTGACATACGACAGTACACACCTACACATACTGGCTGCATTAACAGGTGGATTCTGAATTGTAAATAATCCTGCAATTCATTTTTCACACACAAGCAAATAAAAACAGTCAAAATATCACTCAGACTCATATAGCATCCACCAAGCAAGCTTTTGAGAGAGATTTAAAGTAAAGATAATTTAAAAGTCACCTACAATTATAAACAAGACAAGGACACAGACAGGAATAGTCCTTGGATTGACTGTTCCTGACAGGTAGCTTCTGGCATCAAAATGTTGAGCTCTGTAGTCTCCCCGCACCAGCTAAAAAGAAGTTATCTGGTTAATCTTAGGTTTTGGGGATGTGGTTATTTTTTTTCTTTTCAAAATTAAGTAAAACTCAGGAGCACATCTAGAGAGATATTTTGACTTATTTGCACACGCAACCGGAGCAGGCTCCAGCCACTAATAGTTACAGCACCCAGACAAGATTATATGAATTTTAAGAAGGACTTGAAGCAAAAACAAAAAGGTGGATCTGGTAGAGTCTATCAGAGGCAAAAATATTTTAATATAACATGAGGAGTTGGCAGAGTCAGACAGTCAAATTCAAAACCTTCCTTAGCAGGTCTGGCAGAAGCAGAAGGGAAGGGCTTTGCAGTTTGTAACGAAGAACTATTACATACATCACAGTCTCATCACCTACCCATTCTCCTGTTCTCCCAGGGCACCTACCTTACTGTATGTCACTACCGACAAGTTGTTCGAGTGACTGCTGGGGGAGAGGTTTACAGAGTTTTGTGACAGTCCATTCTGATCTTGTTCAATTTGGTCAGGAGCAGGCCCCCATGTGTTTTTGCTGATTGTGCCTAGCTCGGAACCCCCAGGGTCTTTTAAGTTGTTTTCATCTGGTTGCCTGTTCTTCTGCGGAGAGGCGAACGGGTTAAAGTTTCCTTCTACCTTGCGATGCGGTTGCGTGTTGAACTCCGTTTCAAAGGATGACAGCTGCTGTGTTACACCTAGAAGTCCTCCAACTTCCACGCTGAGGATCACCCAGATGACATCTGTGGAAAAAGACAGACACTCGGGTTGTCACCAGATGGAATTTATGAAGAAGGGGCAGAAGGAGAAAAACAGAACATGAATTCCACCCTTTACAATAGCTAGAAAAAAAGACTGATTGTTTAAAATACATTTTTATGAAGCATCAGAAGTACTGGCTAAACACTAATTTAGTGTCCAATCTTTCAAGAAAACCAGGGAAGTTTTACTCCTACTGAACTTACATGAACCAGCTAAGAACATGTAAAAAACAAACTGACATGACAACTTGAAGCTCCACACTTCAGATTACCAATAGGATGCACTGAAAAAAGAAAACCTGAAGTGACTTTATCCAAAGCTACACAGCAAGACTGAAATGAGAGCCAGGAGATATCACTGCCAGTCTTCTACTCTGATGGTAAAGAAAAGGCAATGTTTTTTGTTTAGCTTTGAAAGGCTTGACTACTAAAATAAAACAACAAAAGGGTGACTTAGAAGGTAATTATGTTTATGAAAATTCACTGCAAAATATCTCCGTTCCAGTTCCAAAACACTCACAGCAGCTGGATAAGATACCCAGGCTTGGTAGACTATTACACGAATTCACAAACTACTGGTTAGAATAAGAAACATATTTACAGTTCTTACCTAATGCGTGCCTGTCTCTTGTACATAGATAAGATTGTTATTTTACTTACCATTTCATTTACACTTCATGCAAACATTATGGCCTATTTATATAAATACATTTCTTGGTACGTGTCCAAATTCAGGTGGGTTTTTTGGTGGTGGTTGTTGGTTTTTTTGTTTGTTTGCTTGGTTTTTTTTCCTCTCCACCTCTCCATTAAATGTGCCCCAGTTTTGTTTTGCAGCATGGAGAGCGAGAATTAAAAAGAACAGCAGCAATACCTTATCTCAGCAGACCTAGTAACAGCACCTCGTCTCACATGTCATTGCTGCCAGGTTTTCTGCAGTCAAGTTGTAACCTACAAGGGGCTCTTTTGTGCTGCCGCTGCTGGCCTGGGGGAGAAGCCAGCAGGTACTTTTGCTGTCCACTTTTACCACCATCACTTCTCAGGCAGCATTAACGCACTCAAGCTCTCCTTCCAGTCCCTCCCCAGGTTTAACAGGGCCGGGCTCATCAGTTTGCATTTTACGACCCCGTTAAAGACAGTGGGATCCTACCTCACAAAAATACGACTTGCTTACGGACCCTCAGCACCCTGGCAGGGCCGTAACCCCCCCGACAAATACCACCGGGGCTGCACAACAGCCC